CTTCAAGACATCCCAAAGTGCTTCACAGAATATACTGTAAAGTGAATTGACTGTTTTGTGGATCAAACACAGCAGCCAATTGTGCACAGCAGTGTCCCACAAACAGTCCTAGATTGAGTGACCCAATTTTTTTTAGAAGTCTTTATTTTTACGATCCATGCAGTAAACCCCTTGCGTTCAGCACCAGGCAACATTCTACATTGCAGAAAGTGAATATGGCAAGAACAGATAACTTGGGTTGACTCCATTGTATAGTCCATTGCAGTATCTCATCATTTCTAATATTAACTGCTGTCACTCTTCAATCTTCATTTAAGAATAAATTGTTTAGTTAAGGAGGCAACGTCATGAGGATGTGAAGAAAAACTGAAAGCTAGAAATCTGAAATACTGGACATACAGGAGAAAAATTGTTTAGCTTTGGAGTAACAATTTAACAAGCTAGGACTCTTGCAAGACGACATCTTAGAGGAGATGTATAACATTTTAAATGGGATTTGAAAAAGTGAGTCCAGAATATTACTTCAATATTACACTCGGATGCAACAAGACAGAAGAAGAGAACATAAGTTTAGAGGTGCAAACGGCAATTTCAGGACAGACATCAGGAATGTTTTCTTTAATCAGAGAGTAATTAACTACTGGAACAGTTTGCTGAGAGGGGTGGTTGAGTCTGGGATACTGGACCTCATTTGAAAAAAACACCTCGTTAATGTAATGGGAGGATTAGTATTCTGGAAGGAAGGGATCATAGAATATTTTATTAGAGCACAGAAGGAGGCCATTCGGCCTATCGTGCCTGTGCCTGCTCTTTGGAAGAGCAAATGGGCCAATGTTGGGATTTAAGATCTGACCCTTCAACACCAAAACTTGCTTTCAAACGCTAATTGACTGGCCAGTAGTATTATCCAGTAGCATTATTGTTCAACCACACGAGGGAGCAAGATTACACAAGAAATAAACAGATGCCATCAACAACTGAATACAACGTGGATTTCTTTTCAAACAGCACATAAATTATAAGTAGCAGCATTTTAGGCAGTGCATTCTTTTCATATCATTCATGAACGAGCATATTAAAAACACAATTAGATATACTTATTTTGGCAAATAAAAGGATTATTATATCCAGAGAGTGGGAGACAAGGGCGGAAAGCAGAGGAAAAGAATGCCTTACCACAAAGACATTGCTTGGCATGATTCCAAGGCATAGCATTCATTCTCACCATTAGACATCAAGAACTTCAGTTACATAGCATCTTTCATGTAGAAAATGTCCTGGATGTGTTTAACAAATAAAATGATGGGCACATTTAAGACACTTAAAGATGTTTACTAAACACCGGAGACACTTAAAGATGTTCACTAAAAGGCGTGATTGAAGGGATATGTTTTAAGAGACAGAGAAAGTGGCCACAAGGCAAAGCATTTTGAAGAAAGTGGAAGATCAAGAGAACCAATTTGTAAACTGAAGATTCAGGGTTTAACAATGGAGTTCAAACAAAGCTGTAAACTTTGAAATGGTCAGTGCTGGGGCTTCTGTGATTAGATTTATTAATTTAAAAGGTAAAAGGATGTAACTCTGCCATGTGAAAATAGCTGTATGGGGAAAACAGGATAATCAGACAAGCACCATTCATGGATATTTAGCATCAGAGTTGAGGAGCGCAAATCATCAGAAAAACAAATTAGTGAGTCTTTCAGTGGCAATTTGGTGGAATTTGGTCACCTTGTATTTGTCTGTAAGACTTTGCTGTGTGTAAATGGCTGCAGTATTCCTAAACACAATCTATTTTTGCTTAAAATCCAGCGATAAAATGTGTTTTAAGATACCTTCTATTCCTGGTGAACCCCAAACCTGTCTGAAAATGTTGCAGCCTTACAGGTGCTTTACATTGATTTGGTTAAATTATTTTTCTATACAGTGACCCTTGGAAACCGGAGTCTCACATTCAAAACCTCAATAGCTGCCGTTGATAAACCAATGCCATCTTTGTTGGCCTTGCCTGGTCAAACTGCTGCTGTTTTTAGGCCAGCTGCACAGATATGCAGAGCACTCTCTTGCAATATTTTCAGACAGGTTTGGGTGCTAACATTATTCAGGTATTCAGAATAACATAAGTATACAAATCTGTGGGACTGGAGTCTGACAAGTAATAGTAGTCTCACCTCTGGGTCAAAGATTTGTGGGTTCAAGTTCCACGAGGCTAGACTGGCATTCCAGTCCATTGCTGGTGGACCAATACAGTGTTAGAGGGCAGTCTGTCAAATGAGATACTAAATCAAGGTCCTATCTTACTAATCAGGTGGACATTAAACAATCCGTGAAATTAATTGAAACAAGAAGGAAGCTTCTCCTGGTTGTCCTGGCCAATAATCCTCCAGATAAATTGGTCACTCACTTGATGGTAATAATTACAATCAAGTATAGTGATCATCTTTGTAGGCAATCGGGAATTATTTTCACTAACTGCCATGAGGTGAATAATCAATTTATTAGAAGGATCAGAAGGAACAACTTATTGGAATCCTACAAAAAAAGTCCTAATTTTTAATAGTGTAATTGGATCTTTAACGTGAATTGTAACAGATTGTCAGGGCCTCAGCTGAATATCTTGTCCAAAGGTTGGTGCCACCCACAATGTAAACCTCTGAACTTACAACGTCCTGATCCAGAGACTGAAGTATTGCCAAATGAGCAAGGCTACAAACAAATGTGAGACATGCATTAACACTATGCTAAAAGAATACACTGTTAATATAACAGAGATTAAGGTTAATAATTCGGCCTCTTAACTATAGGTCCTTTATCAGCGTTTCATAAACATGGAGATAAATGGGGCAAAGAGAAATCCACAACGTTTAGTCCCATCGTCTGAGGAAGAGCCTTCTTATAATCATTACAAGCCTCAGACTTTAGACTCTTGCCAACCTCCTCCTAAAAAAACACTTTCCAGTATTAAATCATCAAGGTACATCCTTCTAGGAAGAGCGAGAGTATGCCTTCCATTACAAACCATGGGAAATTTCCATTCATATATGGAACTCTCAATAGTTTCATTTGGATACAAAAGCACAGCAAAGAATTTCCACTTGTGTCAAATATCCAGCTGACCAAAAAATATATACATTTTAAAAACATATGGGTCAGATTCAGCCTAAAAAGTTCACATTTTGAATAATTCTTGGTTTGACTCAACTTTTGCTGTATAGCCATCACACCAGGGCCAAACCGATGTTATAGCTCAATTGTGGCTGCCCTCATTCACACGTTCATCACATCTAGGCTTGACTACGCCAACTCCCTGCTTGTCGGCCTTTCCAACTCTTCACTCCACAAGCTGCAGTTCATCCAGAACTCTGTAGCTCGCATCCTCTCCCGCACCAGGCTCCGTGACCCCATCAACCCCACCTGGCTCCATTAGCTTCCCATCCCCCAGAGGATAGAGTTCAAAATCCTCGTCCTCACCTTCAAGGCCCTCTGACAAACTCCACATCCCCCGCCAGACCATCGGCAGTCGGGCCTACAGCCTTTCTGCTCCCACCCTCTGGAACTCCATCCCACATTCTTCTCCTTGCTTCCTCCTTGCCTTCTTCAAGGCATGTCTCAAAACCCTCTTCTTTGACCGTTCGGATCAAAACCCTGAATATTCAACACCTTGGGACGTCCTCCCAACGTGAAATACAAATGTAATTTAGTATTGTGTGGTCCAATATGTAATTTGAAATGCAGGTCACATAAAAATATTTGCATCCTGTGAAAACTGGTGCAGTCACTGCAACCTTTGCAACACACCATAGGACACAGGCTGGTATCTTATAATTCCCAAATAGCAACTGTAAATTTGACTGGGTTCTCAGATGCAAATATTTGTTGGTTATGTTGTTTTCGTTTCCTCAGTTTTCCATCTGCCCTGATGTGGCTAGTACCCAGATAAATGTGTAACTGTGTTATTAGGCAGGAACTCTCACAGGTGTGAACTTGATGGTCCTTTAGATTTTTTTTTCGCTCCTCCCTGGCTATACGTTCATGTACGTAAATGAAGGTTCAGCATTTCCCCACAGGCAAGGGAGGATCAAGAAAAGAAAAAAAACCCAACAGCACTAATATGCCTTTCTTATCAGCCCACATCCCTGGCCAGAGAATAATGTTCATTACAGAAAGGGGAGTTTCTTTACATTTCTAAACTATTTAAAATTAGAAACCCTCGTGAACCCCTTTAAAAGACCTTGCAATTATACAGCGTCTTTCACATAATGACTCAGAGCGTTTCACAGTGGTGGGGGTCATACACTAAGCAGGGGATAAGGGCAGGATGCCCATAGGAAGATCAGTGAAGCAGTTTTTAAGGCAGGATTTAAAGACTGATGCGGTGGGGGTGGGAGAGACACAAGGGTAGAGGGAGGGGGTCCAGAGGGTAGAGGCACAGTGACTAAAGATGTTGTCGTGGGCAAGGATGCAGATGTCAGAGCTTTAGATTAGCTGGATCTTGCGGATGGTGGATCTGGGGAGATCGGCAAGGAGTGCATTCAAGAATATAAGGTAACAAAAGTGTGAATGATGGTTTCAGTGGCATGTGGTGTAATATGTGCAGCTTTATCCTGTTGAAATCTTTAACCAATAACCTCTGGATTTTTGCTTTTAAAGAAAATATAAATCACGAGCATTGGCAAAACTAATGACATTAAAAGCATGCACATAGAAATTCACAATTTGTTTTAAAAGAATTACAGTATATTAGCTAAGCATCTTCAAGCCTCAAAGAAACATTACCACAAAAATAAAATATTCTGAGCAGAACACTGGTTTGTTTATACAGCTTACACTTGATCATCTTCAAATGGAGTGCGTCACTCACAAAGGTAAAAGCCAGATGAAGCATCATCATGGCTTTCAAGTGAGTATCAATCGTTCATAATCACAACAAACACAGCAGAGTAGCAATTACGCCTACAATTTTTTTTCCCTGAAAGAGAAGAGGGACGAGTAAAAAAAAATCATTATTGTAAAAGTTGATTTTTATTTGTGTTTTACATTGTTGCATGTTCCAAACTCCATTTTTTTTAGGCACTCAGCAGCCTATCAATTAAAAATCATAAAACATGCAATTTATGACAAAAAGCAATAAATAGACAATATTCTAGAAACAGCTAGGAAAAAATAATAGAAGCAGGAACTTAAGTCATAATTCATTTTCATTCTACATATTCTACACAACAGTTTTGGTAGTTTTTTTTAAAATCGTGACTGCGTAACATGCGAGCCGAAAAAATGCACGGAACTTGTCACCATGCGTTTAGTGGACTCCCAAATTAAACGTAATAAATATGGTATTTGACAAAAGTCGCACACAAATCCAGTTTTTCCTCCAAGTACCGAAAGAGCTTAAAATCACAATATGCATCGTTATCAATGAGCATAAATAAAAGCGATCGTTGACGTATCGTTGCACAGCTAACAGACAAGCAACGCTTCGTCGTCACTGGCTTCGTTCTTTACTGCAGCCTCTCGGCACACGTCGGGTATCTGGGCTGTATGTACCATTCCACAGTGCTCGCAAGGCCCGTCTCTGCTATTAGAACGTTCTCTGTGAGTTGCTGAACTGTGGTGCTGCCGGGTTCCCTGCAACCTGTCAGGGGCGAGCTCAGTGATTGGTCTGCCACCGTCCCTCATATCTACCTCTGATGCTCCATCAGAAACAGGGATCAATAATTCAACATCATCATCCTCTGCTTGCCCGTGGACACCGGTATCCAGCTGCCGCAGGGGGCTCTGGTTCTGACTTGCAGAACTGGATCGCACAATAGAAAAACGCACCCGCCGCAGACTCCGAGTCACAAGGCTCAGGGCACTGCTCAGCTGCTGTCTCGCTGGACTGATGCTGGGCTGCTCTGAGCTTCCCAATTGGGTGAGGACACTACCAACAGTGTTATTAGTATGGTGGCCTGAGGAGCTACCATTTGCTCCGAGAACAGCCTCGACTGCAGAAGTCGGTGCAGCTTTTTGAGGCAGAGGAGCTACAACTCCACCAACAGCTCCTGGCACGTCTCTCCGCTCACTATCTGTATCATCGGCCTCGAGGGTCAGGAGGCCTCTGTGCAAGCTGCTTCTTTCAGGTTCCCTGGTTGCTGTCTGTTCTCCAGACACACCATCTCCATCTGTTGACACAAGTGCTAAGGACGCTGAATTCCTGGATCTTGCAAACCGAAAAACACGGCTCCAAAGGTTATTGGGTCGTCTGTTGGATGTGGAAGACCGGACAGGGGCAAGTCCAAGTTGCGACCGGACTGCCAAACGGAGGTTTTCCAATACAGATGCCTAAAATACAATTGAATAACGTTAGATTCAGAGGAGAACTTTATAGCAGACTTAATCATAAGATTCTACAGAGGAGACTTGTGATGGCTCTCTAAAATACATTCAGTCCCACTCCCCTGCCCTTTTCTTATATCCGTTTCAAATTTTCTTTTTCAAAGCCATTAGAAATTCTGCTTTAACCACCACTTTTGGTGGATAATTAATGCCACATGCAAAAATATATATAAAATTTAAAATTCCATATACAATTTTGAGCATAACGTACCCTAAATAGTTAACAGTCAACAAAACCAGACGTGGTTACTTAACTTGGACAAAATAGGTTTCACAAGCTCTACTTTGAAATTCTGCAACATTTATCTATCGAGCTTGCTTTAAGCAAATATAAAGTATAGATCTGAATTTATCAAATTCCATATTGAAAAAAAAGAATTTAATTAATGGAACTTTGGCTTCAATTTAGCAGCACATTTTTCACATCAAATGTGCCACAAACAGACTCTCCCAATCAATTCTCAGTGGCAATATTAGAGAAATCAGGACCATGTTATTGATTTACTGATCATGGTTTTTAATTGATTGTCAAAAAGCCAGTATCCTGCTGATAGGCAGTTAAAGGCCAAGATTCACAAGTCCACATTCACAGAAGTTGCAATAAGCATCGCAACTAAAGTCCACCTTCATCACATTTAATGCAATGAATGCTGAATGCACCCATTCTGAACATAGTCAGCTTCGTTCCAGGAAAGGTATCGGAATCTAAAATCACTAACATCTGTCTTCATTGCTAGAAATAATGAGGTGGTAGTGATTTTGTACAAGCTGCTCACATTTTCTCAAGATTCACAGATGATTTTGAGCTGTACAAAAGCAACATATGTACTTTATGCCTTGAATTGCAGAGCATATTACCAAATGTAGAGGTGAAAGTCCAGTGGAACTTTGTGTATAGGAAAGCCATTCAACCAATAAGCTTGTTTCTTCCAGGGGCTATGCATAATTATTACATCAAGGGCAAACACATCATTTGATCTGCCATTACAAGGTTTTACATTTTTTTGACTTAAACCACCAAAGGTCAATAAACATTCCCAAAAATGTATTGATTCCCCTTGTTCAGCCCTGGCTGTCTGTCTTCCAGCAGTCCCAGTAGCACAGATCTCCATGCTCACTGAGTACAGTGGAGAGCCCATTATCTGCACAAATTAGAAACAGCTCCATGGTGGATATGGAAAAAATACGGTTAACAGGTCATCACACAAAATACATATTAATCTTTAATTTCAACAGAGATTTGTATATTTTATACTTCTTTCCTCTTGTACATTCATTGAGAGTTTAATAGCATACTTACAAACAAAGAGTTATCTCTACCTTTCAGTACCCAGCATAAAAAAAACCTTCATCATGCTCCTTCTCAATATTTGTTCCAATAAAAATCAATTATCTCTCAAGTTAAATAAATTTAGACTTTGAAGAGCTGGAATTACCCTGGGTACTTTAAAATTGTTTCCAATGCTTTTATGTACTTCTGGAGTTAGGGTGACCAAAATAGCAAGATATCCCAGAAAAGGCCTTACAGTGATCCATACAAGGTCAGCAATTATTGACATTGTCTGATTAACTGAAGCCTTTCAAAACAACCCAGGACCCCACCCAAACAAGTCTCTACTAAAATAAATTGGTGTTCACCGCTATAAGAGAAACTTGTGATTGCAGCATACAAAGGATAAAGGGCAAAGGGCCAGGAATTCCACCATAAAAGAGTACAACAGGAAAAATTGCTGTATGCATTCAAAGTCAGGCAGTGAGCACACTTAGAAGTTCAGATTTCCACCAGAACAAGCAGTTTCCCTTTTCAATAAACATATATTTAAAAAGGGATTTGGGATTACTGGGGCCTGATCTTCACAGTCTGAACCAGTCACAGAAAACATTTTTTTTAATAAACTGGATGGCTGAACTCTCCACACTGGGCACAAACCCATGCCGTATGTTTAAACAGCTGCGCTCCAGACTTTAGTAACCCATAGGTTGATAAATTAAATTTATACTTGCAAGATATACTATGAACATAAATATTATGAAACTCTATAGCAATTTCAAACAAAATTAAAATTATCTACAATTAACAAGGGGATAAAAGCAAAGCTGAGATTGTTGAGAGCTCCTAGACCATCACTATAATAAAATAATCCTTGCATTTGATATAGTGCTTTTCACGTCTTCGAGATGTCTCAAAACGCTTCAGAGAATATACTGTAAAGTGAATTGACTGTATATTTGTGAGCGAAGTTCAGCAGCCAATTGCGCATAGCAATGTCCCACAAACAGTCGTGGATTGAAGTAACCAATTTATTATTGTTTTTTCTTTCTTGAGGTATTATTATCAGGCGTGTGGAATAAGGAAAATGGCCCAAGATTTTGCCCTGCCAGGAATCGAACTACAATCTTTTCAAGGTGTTGACAGTCATGTGGATAGTTTCAGAACTGGCTTCTACATATGTCCTTCGTAACTTGCTTGTCAGGTTGAATATCACTCTGAAATTCACTTTGAAGCTTTTCTGACCTCTCTCAATTATTGCCCTATTTGCTGCATTTAACTTTGCACAGATCTTAGATCACAAAATTTAAATTTGCACCATACATATTGTTCAATTCAACTTCATATGCGGTTTGCTTGCAGTTTTCATGAACAGATTTTATTTTCTCACTTTTAAATCAATTTTCTCCTTTTATTTAAGTGTCCTCGGTTCTAACAGAGCGACCCGTTAGGTCAGACAAGCATCATATTTTCAGACGTCTGCAAATGCTGTTTGTTCTCAAGGAGGTGTTAGGGTGATGAGAAGAACTATTTTTCACATTTATTCTTTGAGGATTTTTTGGGGTCAGCTGGGTATTTGCCACTTGCAGAAACCCATCACTAACCTGAAAGCTCCATGTATGTACATGCACATGGAAATTCCCATGTCTGGAATGGAATGTGCAATCTCTCCCCAAAGAGATGCACCCTGCTTACCTAATTTCTGAGAATGACAGCGCTGGGGTATTGCTGGAGGTTAACCTGCTAAAACCACAAACCTTGCACTCTGGAATATGCCTTACTTCCACCATGAATGATATCATGAGTCCACACTAAATCTGAACCCCTTCGTGGCATATCTGTACTGCCAATACTTTAACATGTTGTACCAAATTTCTAAGTCTTATTTCTTAGTTTCTGCTAGGAACACACTCATCCTGGGGTGGAAGCTTAATAGATCACTGTTTGACCCTTAAAGATTAAGTGCACGTTTGATTTGAGATTCTTAAGAATTGATTTTCTTCGGTTTACTAATTGTACACTCTCGTTAACACCTGAAAACAAGGGCAACACCTTGCAGCACAAAATACTTCTGAGCAAACAGAAATGCAAATATCTCTCAAACAAACAAGATTACAGGCACATCAGCCAATTCAAATTCTGTCTGAACACACAGCTCAGTGATCACAGTTCGATACACAAGCAAATAGATTTACTAAAGAGTTTCCAGGCAAATCTAAGATTCACTTTCACCAATGAGATCATGCAGATGCCAGGGTCTACAGCTTTGTTTTTTTATATAGATATATGAAGACACACGATTGTAAGTTGCAAAATTTGTCTGCAAGCCTTGGTGTACAATCCATCACTATTTACCTGGTTTGACGAACAAACAGGAAAATCCTCCACTGGGGGTATCAAGCCTTGTGCGATCAACTGGCCATAGGATGGAGGAGCTTCTCTTCGCAACAACTCAGCTTCAACTCTTGACAAGTGGGTTTCGAAGGATCTTAGAAGAGAAAGAAAACAATTAGATTTTTTGCTTCCTCACCCTCCAACACTGGCACAGATGCTTTTGTTATCGTTCACATTTTAACTTTTGACAAGCAATTGGATGCAATATCACTGTATTAGTTTACAATTATTTCACCGAAAAATGAATCAAGCCCTGCTACAATGGCAATTCTCAGAATAACAGCCTCTTCAGCTCCTGATAAGTCTAGTCATCACTTAAACACCATCACCAGTGATATAAAGTTTCCCATGTCTGTAGGAATAATATACTTCCAGAGATTCTCTTTTTTACTGGGCCAATAAGAGTACATTTAGAATGCTTTCCAAATTGCACATTGCCATTCTCTCCTCTTCACAAATATCTGGTGAAACACCCAAATTCGTATGTGGAATAGAACAACCAGAAGTAACCAAAGCTACATGAATATTCGCAGGCCAGGAGTCCACCATTAGTAATAAGACTGAAATAGCCTGCTTACTAGACTCATCCAAGGAGCCAGCTTTCCTATTGTTAAACCTCACAACTGCAATTTAGTTTTGCTGTGGTTCAGTCACTGCATCAGCAACTCAAGATTATTGGATTACCCACCCAATAAATCCCATAATTATCTTTGATCAACGCTGCACCTCAATGAACAACTCTTTCACAATACATGCATCCTTCTATTGTGATATTTCAGCTGAATAACTAATTAGGTGGTGACTGAGTTTCTAATAGTACACTCCAAGTATGTAAACTATCTTCCCTGACTTTCCTTAAAGGCTCCTTCGTGTTAGGTGAAAGACCATCCCTCATGCTGCGGTTGAAGTACCAGAAAGTCTGATGCACATGGCCAGCAGATATTTACAGATTATTCAACCCCACCCCAACCTCATTACAGCAAAAGAAAAATGAGGCTGCAGTCCAGAAATCGCCATATTTTAGGAATGTGAATATAAATTTAGAGAGAATTCTTAGGGAATGGAATTCAGTTGCGCTGAAAATGCTGAGTTGTTTTTCCTCCACGACACACTCATGTTAATTTTACTAATTTAAGTCACCTGCAAAATAGTTTCTATTATTTTTAAAATCACACGGACCCCAAGATGAGTGATCTTCGAGTAAATATTGGACTATTACATTCAACAACAAATAATATTTACACCTCTAATATTTAATGTTTTGGAATCATTCATAATTGATAAATCCTTTCAACCTTAAGACAACGTTTAGAAAAAAATGGCCTTGTCTAGTGTGTGTTATTTTCTTTCCATTTCCTTTGAGGTTTAAATGCTATTTGCAACATTCCCAATCTATTTCTGCAGATCAATGCAATTCTGACGTCAAGTGCATTAGGAGACCAGCTTGTTGTTATCTGTTCACTCTCACCACTTGTGAGGAACAACAACAACATTTCATTTATAGAGCGCCTTTCACGTCGGGAGGACGTCCCAAGGCGCTGGACAGTTGGGTCGGGACCCGAGCAGGGGGGTAATGGTCAGGGTGAGGGGAGGGAAGGGAGGGAGCGAGGAGGGGGTAGAGAGTCGAGAGGGGAGCTGAAGGCACGGTCGAAGAGAAGTACTGTACTTAGTTTTCACTCTACACTTTCTTATGGTAGGGATTAGGAACTCAGCATGTGAGAAATTGTGGATATTAACCAAATTAAGAAACAGGATATGTATTCAAAATAAAGGTACAAATTCTAGAATTTAACAATTTCTGATTTTAACAATGGTATTCGAGTATTTTGTTTGCAAAGATTTAAACTTTAGCCATGACTTCAAAGGAATAAAAGGAAAATGCTCAGAGGAAGTACTTCCAGTTATCAGCATACAAGGTCTGTTCTCATGAAAAGACAGTTTGCTGGTCAATTTGGAACAGCTGTCAGTAGAGGATTATTGTTCACTGGCAGCAGTTTAAAATGTAAGAGATCTCACCACCAAGTTACTGGACATGAATATTGCTTCCCTTTACAATAACTTCTCATTTTTAAATCGACTTACCCAAGGCATTAATTGTAATGCTATTAAAAAAATAAAATTACATATTCTCCAGAAAGATTATGTGATTACTCTGGCTGGCTGGGATTTCCCTACAATGATGCTGCTTGGCAGTCAAGAATAGACAGTGGCTGGATCCGAATTCAGTCGGGTGACAGATCAGTGGCATTGCTTAATGAGTCAGAAGCAGAGCTGTGTCAAACCAGAGTATGATGGAAAAAGAAATTTACTTTCCAAAAAAGCTCAAAGAATAAAAACTTAAGAGACTGCACTCTACTTGCATGAATATCCAAATTGATTGGAGATTGTGAGGCTTATTGCTTAAACATTGTTCATAGAAAGTAATTAATTTTTTTTTGGTACTGGAAGGAAAGTGGGTGTCCAACTCAAATTTAAATTAGTCTTAAATCACACCAAAAAAATCAGGGAGAGCCCCTCGGTGGAACATAAAATGCTCAGGAATAAAAAGATCAAACAGCAAGAAAAAGGAGGAAAGAAGAAACTAGAGCAAAGGTGTGTGTTCCAGGAGGGAGAATCAAACTGGAAATAGAGGGACAAACCCCCACTATATTAACTCATCCTCTAAATCTCCACGTACCATGTGGTCCAAGATGCAGGATATAAATGCAAGCTGTTATTTTTGTAGATAAACTTCAGTCCCTCAGGCGAATTATATACAAAAGACCAGAAGAGGAACCAAATGTACGAAAACAGAAGGGTGATTAACCAAAGGGAGTGAATTCTCTTTTCAGATTGAGGAAACCTTAGGGATCTCCACGGGAAGTTCCAGTAACAATGCAAAGGGTTGGACTCCACTAAGAGGCTTGACTTCTCCAAGTTTCCTGGCCCAGAAAGTTGGCCGTACAATTAGAAACTATTAGAGAAGTTACTACCTCACCGTTACAAAGCTTGTAAGATTTTAAAAATGTTTTTGTGAGATTACATTTGAAATGCATTACATCAGGGTCTCCGACTGGTCGATCACCACTGACTTTTTGGAACGTCAAGAAGCCAAACACCCACAGGAGTCCAGGCAAGTCCACACCCAAATCAATACCTTGATTCCAGTAGTTACCGAGCCACGATACCCATGACACCACCGTAAATGAAAAAAAAAGGAATTTGGTTGGCCGACCAAATAGGTTGGCTACCACTGCATTATATCATGTAGGAAATAGAAAACCACTGCATGAGACATCAGTCCGGTCAATCAATACTTGTGTCACAGTTTCCATTATTGCTAGTTGCTGCCAACCAAGATCCAATAAGTACCTGTGCTGCCAGCAGTTACTAATGAGTTGGAGTGTTGGGACACACAAATTACTTATTAATCCAACAAGATTTATTAACTGTTCACCATCTGAAGACATAATTTCCCACTTTCATCATCCTCTAGTCTAAACCAAGTATCATTACTCCCCAAAAAGATACACCTTACACCCTAATCATGTCCCCAAAAGATACAATCCATCCCCCAAAAAGACATCAAGCATTGTTCTGCTTTTTCGATGTATAGGGTGACGTGCTCTTCAGTTTCCTCTTTTTCAAAGAGGAAGTACCAAACCCCAGTCTGAAAACTCCTATTTAGGCAGACAAGAAGATTCCATAAGGGGATCTCCTTCTCCTCACCCCTTCTTTTCCACCCCTCAACAAGCAAGCAGTATTTTCCACCATTTTACTCAAAATTGCTGATAAATACAGTCACTATACTTTACACTATATCCTGTGAAGCACTTTGACACGTCCTCCCAATGTGAAAGACACTGTATCAAATGCAAGCAATATATATAAACAAATAATTTCAGCTTGCGAGTATCATTTATTAGAATCAATAATCCGACAACAACTGAAAGTCAGTGACTGTCCTTATGCTTTGGAACTCATTCCTTGTAATGTATCTGAACATTCAAACCAACCCACAAACTCTAGCAAGCACTTACCTGCGCTCAAACATTCGCAGTGAATAGAGTTTGCAGGTACATCCCAGAGCAATGACGAGAAGCAGTCCACAGATTAAACTTCCGATGACTGCTGCAGTTATCACCCGAGTGGGTACAATCACTGGGCAATTTTCCTCATCACTGCCATCCCCACAGTCATCCTGTGCATCGCAGACCCAGCTCTCAAACACACAACGGTTGTTCTTACAGTGGAAATTACCAGGCTGGCAAAAGAAACAATTCTTCTCATCTGAGCCATTGGGACAATGGTTCTGGTAGTTGCAACGGTCAGACAAAGGGTAACATACACCATTACGAGAACAGGGAAACTCGTCCTTCTGGCATAAGCTGCAATTGCGCTCATCTCTTCCATTTGGACAATGCCAATAACCATCACAACGCTGCTGCTCAGTGTAGCAGCCCCAATTGCCGCCACATGGAATCTCCCAGGGCAGGCAAAAGCCTTCAACTTGGTAAGTAGCGTTAAAGCCTCTGGCTGCATTCACTTTGTCTGCATAAAAATGTACCCGCAACTTTCCAGATGAAGCGATCACCGTGATAGGTGGCCGGGAATCAAATGACGTCAGGACGCGGAGCAACTTGCGCGAATTTTCCTCCAGGCCATCGTACACTTTGACATAATCCCCATAGCCTGTGCCATCCAATTTAAAGTCAGTGAAACGCAAAATAACTTTGCGCCGGTCTCCTGTATCTATCAGCCACGTGCAGTTGCTTCCAGGTGGGTAAAAGGCAGGATAATTTGGAGAGTTAAAAGCACCATAAAAGTTTCTCAGCTGCTCCTCACAAGTAGGGACATCGCAATTTATTTCGTCTTCCAAATCCAGGCAATCGATATTCCCATCACATCGCAAAGTCTCGGGTAAGCAGGTGTAAGCCGGAGTGTACCGGGAGAGACACTGGAACTCATTATACGTACAAGGCTGAAAAGGAAAAGCAGTCGGGGGTGTTGACCTCTCACACAGCAATTCATCAGAATTGTCCCCACACTCGTCCATGGTGTTGCATTTCCAGATCTCAGGGACACATTTCCCATTGTTGCAGTGAAACTGGTCCCAGTCACAGCCTGCCTCCACAGATCTTCCTGAAAAGAGCAATTTACACAATAGGTTATGAGTGAAAAGAAGCTCTCCTTGTTTGACTAGCTGGCTCATCAAAGGGAGGCTCGGATGAAGAAGGTCATTTAGACTATTTGATCATATGATTTGACTTTTCCAAGCTTAGAAGCTGTTATATTTGAAAATCAATTTTATCAGTAAAAAGCAGAATTTTTAAAATGGCAATCGTTCTAGCTAATAATTCTTACTCAAATCACCCCCGTATTTAAATATTCCTTTAATCAAAGAAGATGCCTGCCAAGTTGCTGATGGGTAATAACAGATTGTAACTGAGGTTACTTTAATGATACAAGAATGCAAGTACAATGTAATACAGAAACCAACTGTACACTATGTGGGTGGATAAGAAAAGGTCATATAAATTAAAAGCAAATTGAAAGCTACAGCTACGCCTGTGTACATACAGGGCTAACTTAGTTGTAACTCAGTAACAACAGATCACTGAATGCTGACCGTGCCATCACAAGACTATCATCCAAGAGAATAAACACTTCCCAGAACCTCTGACAACAGAGCTTTAGCCTCTACCTTCCCAAATGTTGCCCCAATGAAGGAGGTAGAAAATATGAAATGCAACAACAAAATTACATTTGAATAGCGCCTTTCATGTCGGGAGGACATCCCAAGACCCTGGACAGTCAGAATTTTGGACCCGAGCTGGGGGTCAGGATTGGGGAGGGAGGAGAGCAGGGTGGGGGGAAAGGAGGGTGATCGAAAGCACGGTTGAAGAGGATCTTGAAGGCACGGGAGGGGGCGATGTGAAGGGACTGCGGAATGGAGTTGCAGAGGGTGGGGGCAGATGCAGAAGGACCGTCCACCAACGGTGGGGGGGGGGAGGGGCGAGATGGGGGACGTGAAGCAGGCCGGAGCCCGCTGAGCGGAGGGAGTGGCCAGGATGGTAGGGGGTTAGGAAGTCACAGAGATAGGGTTGAGCAAGACTATGGAGGACTTTGAAGGTGAGGACCAGGATCTTGAACTGTATCCTCTGTGTGATGGGAAGCCAGTGGAGCCGGGGGGCAAGGTTGGGGGTGATAGGGTTGCAGTTCCTGGTACGGGAGAGGACACGGGCTGCAGAGTTCTGGATGATCTGCAGCCTATGGAGGGAGGAGTTGGGGAGGCCGACAAGCAAGGAGTTTACATAGTCAAGCCTCAATGTAACGAACGCGTGTACGAGGGTTTCGGAGACCTGCGTTGTGAGACAGTGTCGGAGCCGGGAGATGTTGCAGAGGTGGGGGAAGGCTGAGCAGGTCAGGTAGAAAGGAGAGTTGAGGGTCAAACATGACACCACGGTTCCGGACTTCTTGATATTCTTGAGAGCAAGAGGATGTAGGCCATCAAAGAATGTATGGATCTTGGCAGTAAGCCACTGCAAGAATAGCTATCCATAGGTAAAACTGCACAAATTATGCAACTGTGACATTAAAATTGGAGCAAGGCATTTTGTGCTGTTCCAGAGAGTGCCTTTTGGTACTGTTACATTTTATTGTTTACTCACTTATTTTCCATATGCTCTGGATTAACAATTAGCAGGCTTTATGGCCAAGTAGTCAGTTTATATTATCCTTTACCTGATATTTCTAAATATGGAAATCGTGCTGTGTAGTAGCCATTTCAGCTATGTCACCATCTATGCAATAAAGTCAATAACTTCTTTTCCTCCCCACCCCAAAATCTGACTAAAGTTGTTAATTTCCTTTGGGCAATCATTGATATGGGTGGAAGGAGTTTGCCTGCACGAGATTCAGTACTCAGTTGACACAGCCTGATTAATTGAGAGCTGCAAGATACCTTGTATGAGCATGCTTGCACGAAAGCCAGCTACCCGCCTGACCTCTGGTTCCAGCCTTGCCAAACCCTTCCCTCCTGTTTGGTTGCTATGGTCAGTCAATCCTGTTCTACTCCCTAATAACCTTGCTAGAGGGCGCCCTGCATTTCAGGTAGTGATTGGCTGCCCCTCGTTTTTTTAGGGACAGCATGTTGATCTGCCAGCAGATGCTGTGATCCATTCAGGCTCACTCCACCGGCCCAACACATCACAGGCTAAGGTGCCAGGACTGCGATAAAGCCATTTCCAGCTAAATACTTCCATATTTCAAGTTGAAGAAGACTGCTGTCGGTTTTCAGATCCCAAGATTTGAGTTATTGCATCAGAAGAACCAGTAAAATATAGACAAACAAGTAATGAGGGTTTGTTGAGTCTATCATTTGTGCAAAAACTATGTCCAAATAGCAACTTTCTTAATAAAGATTTTAAAAATTTCCCACATCTCATTTCACCTATCTTCACTTGTCTTCTCAATGTCTTTTTACTTTAAGCATCATTAGTGGTCCATACCAATTATAAGACACAGAACGTTATATAGTTTGGTTTATCAATTCTTCTGCTAGGTTGCTAGACCCCTGAATGCTATATATGTATCAGAGGGATACTTTGCTGCAGTGGGATATACCTTGAATACAATCTACCACTGTCTAAGTACAGCATAGATAGCTTTTCTTGTCGTAAAAAAACATACACCCATTCAAAAATGATGCGTTTAATCCATCTCAAAAGAGATTGCAGTAAATTAGCTCTGTATCAACCAACTTCTTTAAAATATGATTGTCTTAGTGAAGACAAAGGGATGTAATTTACAGAGTAAAGTTTAGTTGGGACAGAAATACTCAGTGAAATTAGTTTAATTAAGGTTTTGACAGCACAACCACATATTTCTTTGCAATTGAAAGGACAATTCACAAAATATCTCACGTTGTCAAGCAAGTCACACGCACATATACTCTTCAAATTCTATCCATTGCCCCTCTATCCTCCAGTTGATGTCTCACGCTCATGAGTCATTAGCACTGTACTTTTCTGTGCGTGCACTCAATTTTGTGAGCAATAGTTTGGAGCAGGTGGGGCTGAGTGAGATTAGCATTTCTGTGGGTGGGTGGGGGGGTTCAGGGAGCGAAGAAACTCATTAGCATGGGTAAATAATCATCATACTTGTTGAATGTTGGAATAATATTTTACTTTTGAAATCAAAACATTGAAAAAGTTAACATAAACCACAATAGCTAGCGTACATTATAAATCCCTACTCGACAGAATCATTTATGCCCAAAAAGAGCAACAGCGGGGGTAACAAAGCACTAAAGGCACGTCACTGTTGAAAAAAATGGTATCTATACCTGTGATGTAAGAGAGCCGGAAACCTTTCCTAGTATACCGGTCATCTGAATGAAACTTAATCCAGACGTGTTCTTGTGAAGAAATGTATGGTCCTGGAATGGAAGAACCACACACGCGAGTTCCTTCCAGGTTTTTGTATGTTCCTATTGTTAACCAGTCTGCGCTGCACCAAGCAGAACTTTGGACATCAAAATCCTGGAAACTAAGGAAGAAGAGCGGTCAGTCTCATACCTTTCAAATTAAAATCTCAAAATAACACAATGCATGATTCAACAGCAACATTTACTCTTTTTCCCCCTTTTCTCCTTAAACTGCATTTAATTTTGCACTCAATGCAGCCTCGCTTCATCAAAATCCATTGCCAGATCAGGCTGTTCCCATTGTCTCCACTGCTCAAGTTTGCTGTTAGAGAAACTACATACAAACACAACCCTCTTGTATATCTTCTCACCAAATCTCCTTCCTGTTGTCACCCAACTGGCATAATACTACTTGCATTTGATATAACACCTTATCACACTGTTGGGATGTCTCAAAGTGGCTATACAGGATATACCGTAAAGTGGACTGATTGTATTTTGTGGGCGACATCATAAATTCAGCATATTAGACGGTTTTGCTCCCCGGAACGGGTGATATTCACTGACCAGAACTGAACATCCAACTGAGTGCTCAAAGGACATCCCTACAGGAGAGGTTTGAATCTGAGTAACTCTGTCTAAATTCTACTGGAAACATATGCATGCTGCGCAATTGAAAAATAATTGTGCCATAAGCCATAATCTTAAAACAGATGCAGCATTTGAAAACTAATTTGTGTATAGATGATAAGAGGGTATTCCATCAAGGCAACACTGCACTTTAGACTCTCAAACCAGCTCACTAAGATCCTTCCCCATAACTTCATTAAACAAAATACATTTATCTGTGTAATCAGAAAATACCAAACATTTGGGAAGTAGTTTCAGTAGCATTAACATTTTTATATTTTGAATACTAACTTAGATGCACTTTAAGATAACTTTAGGAGTGATTCATTATTTCTTTACTGGAAATGGCACATGACATTACACCATTAGATGCAATTTGCATTAATAAATTTAATTGCTTAGAAAATACAGTACATTCTACAACTTGAAAATGTAAATTAATCCCATAGTTATGGAAATTAGAGAGAATACGTTTAGGGTTTTAACAAACATGAGAAAACATCTCCACTTTAAAAAAAATGCTTTTGTGGAAACAGAATCAAATTAAAGAACCAGTAAGTATTATGAAAGTATTTCAATGTCCTCATTGAGCAACCTAAAATCATACTATAGCACAAATATTTTGGATTTAAAAAACATGCTTCCATCCAACTTTTGGGTACCTGATGTGTACTATATAACATCAACAGCAATACATTACAAATTATAAACGATTTATAGCACTGATCAAATGCTCTTTATACAGGAAAAGTACCAGGCTGCAGCTTGGAAACAATATACAAGTTGCAACAGCTCTCACTCCTTGTTGTACTTACAAATTTTAGTCATGCGTTTGTACTAAGTGGCCTCTGCGGTTTCCTAACCCTGTCAGTGTGAGTCCCTGCTCAAAGGGCTTAACTGAGTCAGAATTAGACACTCAGACTGGTATTTCCAGATAACTCCAATGCCCGGTAACTGGGATGTCTAATCGGAGTCAGCTCACACTACCAGAACTCAGATGTCACAGCTATTCTCTAAGTGCTTACTCCTTTTCTTATTTTAGAATATTACAGAGACTCAAGGATACATTCGGTAAAAACAACTCTTTATTAAGACTTAGCAACCCTAAGCTACCTTGCATATAAGAAATACAACAATTTAAGATAAACAACAATGGGATCAAATATAACTAACACACATAACTATACAACTAGCAGCACAATACTACATAAGTAATAAGACTTCAACCAACCCGATGGCACAGTAATCCTGTACACGTCAGTATGTATTGGATGATGACCATTAGATAGCGACCACAAGACGCGCCAAGCATTTCTCTTTTCAGGCCCGTGGGTCCGCCCACCGTATGATGCAAAGGCGAGGATTTTTTCCCCACGCGAGCGCCCACGTGCCTTTTCAGGCTGCTCATAAAGAACTGCCTCTCAATCAAGCGACCTTGAGCCTAGATTTTGTTGGAACGTGGACACCTCATGTATGCTGGTTGCTAAGTCTTTTGCAAACAGCTTCTGCGACTAAATCTTTTGCAAGCAGTTTCTTAAACAGAATCTAATTAAAGGGACTACCCATTTCCCTTAAATAATACTATACATTATCTAGGGTAACCGTGACATTTCCCCCTCTCGATAATTAATATTTTCGGAGAATAACATCTTCGTTATCGATCTGTAGGAGGAAAGAATTCAAGAGTCTAACAAAATGTCTGCCACAAAACTTTCTGTTCTGTCGTATCATTCTTCAAAGATACCTGTTGCTGTTCCCTCTCTCTCTCTCTCTCTCTCTGTGTCTGTAAGCCACATGCACTTCAAGTTCAGCTAGAAGATAGAAACTTACAAACAGTATATTGTTTTCAAAGACTTATGCCAGTTATTACTATAAAAAACATATATTCTTATATATAACAAAGCTGCTCATTAAACTCAATCAGGTCAATCCCAGAATTTAGAATACTATTTCCAGACCTTCCCATTGAACATTTGACAAATGCATTTGACTGCCACCTCCAGATGTTTATCTGGCTTTTCTTAGGGTTTATTTTAAACAACAACAACAAGATTCCATTTATTGAGCGCCTTTCACGTCGGGAGGACCTCCCAAGGCGCTGTACAGTTGGGTCAGGACCCGAGCATTGGGGGTCAGGGTGAGGGAAGGGAGGGAGCGAGGAGGGGGTAGAGAGTCGAGAGGGGAGCTGAAGGCTCGGTCAAAGAGAAAGGTCTTGAGACCGGCCTTGAAGGAGGAAAGGGAGGAAGCGGCGAAGGCACTGGGGGATAGAGTTCCAGAGCCTCGGGGCTGAGAGGCTGAAGGCCCGACCACCGATAGTAGGGCGGTTGGGGCGGGGGATGTGGAGCAGACCGGAGCCAGAGGAACGGAGGGTACGGGCAGGTAGGTAGGGGGATAGTAGGTTGGAGAGGTAGGAGGGAGCAAGGCCGTGAATGGCCTTGTAGGTGAGGATGAGGATCTTGAATTCGATCCTCTGGGGGATGGGGAGCCAGTGGAGGCGAGCGAGGGTGGGAGTGATGTGGTCGCGAAGCCTGGTGCGGGACAGTACACGAGCTGCAGAGTTCTGAATGACCTGCAGCTTGTGGAGGGAGGTGCCGGGAAGGCCGGCGAGGAGAGAGTTCCCATAGTCCAGCCTTGAGGTGATAAAGGCGTGGACCAGAGTTTCAGCAGCGTGAGGGGTGAGGTAGTGCCGTAGTCTGGCGATGTTCCGGAGGTGATGGAAGGCGGTGCCAGTTGTGGCGCGGATATGGGGGAGAAAGGACAGCTCAGGGTCGAACAGAACACCGAGGTTCCTGACGGCTTTGAGAGGTGGAGAGTGCAGCCTTGGATGCTGATGCTGTCAGCGCCTGAGGTGCGGAGGCGCTGACGTGAGCCAATCAGGAGGGCCTCAGTTTTGCGCACGTTGAGCTGGAGAAAGTTATCTCTCGTCCAGGACTCGATGTCGGACAGGCAGCTGTCAGGACATCGGTGGTCGTGGAGTTGAGGGTAGAGGAGGAAAGGTAGAGTTGGGTGTCATCCGCATACATGTGGAAGTTAACCCCATGTCTGCGGATGATGTCACCAAGGGGGAGCATATAGAGGGTGAAGAGGAGGGGACCGAGGACAGAGCCCTGAGGGACACCGCACGAGACAGTGCGGGGGCCGGAGGAAAAACCATTTGTGGAGACAAAGTGAAGACGGTGGGAGAGGTACGACCTAAACCACTCAAGGACAGGGCCTTGAAGGTTTAGGTGGGAGGACAAGCGGTGGAGGAGGATAGCGTGGTCGACCGTATCGAATGCTGCCGATAGGTCGAGGAGGCAGAGGGAGCCCTGGTCACAGATGGTCAGGATGTCATTGGTGACCTTGACCAGGGCAGTTTCTGTGCTATGGGCAGCACGGAAACCCGACTGAAGGGGTTCGAATAGTGAATGGTTGGAGAGGAAAGAGCGCAGCTGGGAGGCGACAACTCGTTCCAGGACCTTGGATAGGAAGGGGAGGTTGGAGATGGGCCGGTAGCTTGATAGCTGCGACGCATCAAGGGAGGGTTTTTTTTTAAGGTGGGAGTGATGGTGGCAGTTTTTAAGGGAATGGGAATAGAGCCAGAGGAGAGGGACAGGTTGACGATGTCTGTGATATGTGGGGCAAGGAGGTGGAGCTGGGAGATAAGGAGTGGAGTGGGGATGGGGTCAAGGGAGCAGGTGGTAGGTTTCAGGGAGAGGATGAGTTTGGTGACAGAGGATGGGGAAACGGGTACGAAGGTGTGTAGGGGAGGATGGGTAGGAGTCGGAGTGTGGGAGGGAAGGGGTGGGTGGTGGGTGGATGTTGGAGGGGAAGTGACCGCGGAGCGGATTCCCTTGATCTTGGATTCAAGGAAATCCAGCATCTCCTCGCAGTGAAGGTTGGAGGAGATGACCTGCGCGGGGTGGCGGGGGGGACGGAGGAGTTGGGATGTGGTAGAGAACAGTAGCCTGGGGTTGTCCTTCGCCTCCAGGATTATCCTGGAGTAGAAGGACGATTTGGCCGAGGCTAGAGTGGAGCGGTAGATTTTGAGGAGGTCCAGCCAGATTTGTCGGTGGACCGTTAGGCCAGATTTGACCCAGGTGCGTTCAGCGGCCCGCACCTGGCTCTTCAGTGAGCGGAGGTGGGTGGTGAACCAGGGGGAGGAGCGAGAGTAGGAGACAGTACGGGAGGTGATAGGGGCAAGAGTGTCAAGTGTGGAGGAGAGGGTGTTGTGGAGGAGGGTGAGAGCAGAAGAGGGGTCGGTGAGGGTTGAAGGCCAGAGGGAGAGGAGTTCAGAGGACTCCAAGGCAGTGGTTAGGGATTGAGGGGGTAACTTCTTCCAGGGCGGTAGAAGATGGTGGTGGGTCTGGTGGAGGTGGGGAGGGGGTGGAGGTGGTGAAGGAGATGAAGTGGTGGTCGGAGATGGCCTTGTCGGTGATGGTGACATCCGAGACACTGAGGCCCCGGGTGATCACCAAGTCGAGTGGGTGGCCGTGACTGTGAGTGGGGGAGTTGATGTGAAGGGAGAGGTTGAGCGAGGAGAGCAGGGAAGAGAAATCTGAGGAGATTGAGCAGGAGGGGGTGAAGTGTAGGTTAAAGTCGCCCAGGATGATGAGGCGATCAGAGCAGAGGCAGAGAGATGTGAGAAGTGTTGAGATATCAGAGATAAAGGTGGGAGAGGCTTTAGGGGGCCGGTAGAGGAGGAGGATTTTAAGTGAGAGGAAGGAGGGGTGGGAGAAGTGCAGAAGTGAGCGCTTTCAGCACTCCTTCCAATTTCTTAAGGTGTTCAGTTGGACTATTGTCCGCCCAAAAAATATCATCTACATAACAAATGCGCACACATTAAAAATGGCTGGGGAATTTTTCCATTCCTGTGGCATTCAGTTCCAATGGAAATGCTGTCCACGGAATGTAAATGCCGTTTTCCACGCATCGTCTTTAACTAAGGGAACATTCCAGAACCTGTTAGCTAGATCCATGGTAGTTTTGTATTTCCCTTAGAATGGCTGTCGAAATCTCCACTCAAATGGGTGCTTTGACCTGCTGCTGTTTTAGTAACAGTATTTAACTGACAGAAGTCTATAACTAGTGGCCATGACCCATTTGCTTTATGTCATGGCAAGAGGTGAATTTGCTGAAGATTCACATTTTGTAATATATCTCTCCTTTCTGATTCCCAGATAAAGTTTTTTTTAAAATCAGTGAATCACTGGGTAAGGGGTATTGAGGAACGGGTTTATGAATCCCTGCACGTATCCTAACCTCATGTTGAATTAACCCACAGTCTAATTTATGTTTAGCCATGCTCGACCTGTAAACTTCTACAAAGCTCGCCTCTGTGTAACTCTCTCTGCATGTGGATATACTGCTTCTGTTCAGCAGCGCTTACATCCACATACACACTGCGAACTATTACATTATGGCGATCAGCCCCTCTAAGAAAGTCGCATCCCAGTTTCACATTTTCTGTGAGGATTAACAACTAATTTCCATTGCAATTACCTCGGATTGTTCTACATCTATAATCTCAGCCATTTGATCATGCATTTGTATTAACTTGCCTCCTATCCCCTCTACAAGGACACTTCTCCCTTTCTGGTTAGGATCCTCCCCTGCTACATTCTTACTGAGTGCTGTTACCTGCACCCCCATATCTACTAAAGCATTATACATTTTTCCACATAATAACCAGAATGTGGGGACAACTGGCAAAGCTCACACCCACCAGAGGATTGCCCCTTTCCTAACATGTACCCCGAGGGATTTGAGAATTCGCTGCTTTGCTCAGAATTTTTGCTCCCGCATACGAACTGACCCTTGGCTGAAAATAAGTTTGGTCGGCCTGGTGGCCACAAGGCTTAGGCCTTATTCCACTGTCCGCCATTTTAACTCTGTGTGCATGCATGGGTGGTGGTCCAATTGTGTTGAAATTTTTACAGCGATTAAACTTCGGTCATGCCATTTATTGTTTTCATCAAACAAATTGTCCGAATAATAAAAACAGTGATGCATTTCCACCCTTTTAATTATTAAGTCCCAGTGATTTGGTGGATCGACATCAGAAGCAAGGACAAAACTTTTTCTATCTGTCGGAAGTGCCATTAGAAACATCTCTCCCCAGAGCTCTTTTGTAAATAGTTTGGTGATTTGGAATGGTAGCACTCAGGGGGTGTCCCTTTCCTAACCTGGTCTATTTTCTCTGGATGCCCTTTTTCTCATACAATCGTTCACTTAATTTCACTAAGTGCCATAGCCAAATTATCCTACTTGGGGTTGATCAGGTCCCACCAGAGTTTGTTAACTACTGATTGCAAATAAATCTCCACAGCAGTTTTACTCAGTATTACTACCAACTTTGCTATCGACATCACTGAATTCAACCAGCTTTCAATTTCCTTAAATTCAGGCATGGTGCCAGTCAAAGATTTAAGCCCCAGCACACTTTCTGTGTGTGATTCCCCAGCTGTACACCATTATCATTTGCCACGTGGGTGCTTTCCTATGTGCAATTCACATTCATCAAAACTTCTGCTCTCTTGTTTAGGAGCCCCTTACTTCTCAACTGTGCTTTTAATTTTGTTATTTGTGACGGCTGCCCTGACTCTTCTATCCTTAATTGCACTAGAATTTCTTCTGCTCGCAGAATTTGATTGGACAAACCTCAGCCCGCATTTCTTGCAAAGCTACATTCATGTCAGTTAATTGATTCTTGTGCCTTTTGGAAAACTTTTTTTCTGTTGCTCAAAAGCCTCTGTTGCATTTCCTCTATATTTCCAAGTTAAACGTATTCCTGCTATTAGCCCCGATGCCAGGGAGAAGACTGCTGCTCCTATTTGCGCCTTTTGGAGATAGTCTGCACCGTTATTAGTCAACCTCTGAGACTGAATGAACCCAACAGGATTGAACCCAGAAATGTCAAGTTCCTGGTTCAGTTCTCATGTGTATATATTTTTTTTACCAAGCTAATGACTGTTTCAGCTTTATTTCAGCATCTCTGTGGCAATCCCTACAGTTCAGTTTGTGAGGCAAATGGCTATGCAGTAATCCAGGCTACAGCACACCAGCCATCCTGGCTCATTGGTAGGATTTGGATGGGTAGACTAGTTACTGGGATTCTTCCCACTCGGCTCCTGTTAATCCTGCATGTCAAAGCTCTAAATGGGTAGGATGGTCCTAGCTGGACAAGCGGCAGGAAAGCTTGCCAGGCAGTGCTTTTAATTGCAAGCTACGGGATTTTGGTTAAACACCAGCAGTACCTCAACACACATTCCTGAACGCCCAATCTGCCAACCTGCGCCTAATAGTCTACAGGATTGAGTAAGCAGGATGTGTCCCAACAGGGAGAGAGTGTACATTCCATTCCAAAATGGAAATTTCCATATATAGGTGGCCTACATAAAACATTCAGTTTGGTTTGTATACTCTTCAGCATGGTGATTGGTGTCTGCATGTCAGGCACCTAGCTAACTAAAACTAAAATTGTCACCATGCACTCAGCTTCAGTGCTATTGTAAAACCCTTGGTATTTTAAAAACAATCATTTTTGCATTCAGTATAGTACTTTATGATGTGGAAATGTCTCAAAAAACACTTCAGAGAGTGTTCTGTAAAGTGTAATGATTGTGTTCTTGTAGGCAAATGCAAATGCGACAGCCAATTTGTGTACAACAGTGTCCCAAAATAGCCAGGAGGTGAATGATTAATCTTATCTAAAGAATTGTTGGACAGTACCCTCAGAGAAACAACCATCTCTTTTCACATTGTATCATAGGTTCTCATATCATCCACCTGAATGGTCAGATGATACCTCAGTGTACTGTTTCATCTGAATGACAGCACCTCTGACAACATAGTACTACACTAACACCGCACCTCAGAAAGGATATATTGGCTCTGGAGGGGCTGCAACGCAGTTTCACCAGAGTGATATCAGAGCTAAAACGGTTAAATTATGATGAGAGGTAGCATAAACTTGTTCTCTATTCCCTTGAGTTTAGAAGGTTGAAGGGTGATCTGATTGAGGTTTTAAAAATAATAAAGGGATTCGATAGTGTAGATAGAGAGAAACTATTTGCTCTGGTGGGGGAATCCAGAACAAGGGGACATAATCTTATAATTAGATCACCGATTCGATAACAGCTTTTAAGAGAGAAGTAGATAATTATTTGAGGAGGATAAGTTTGCAGTGCTATGGTGAGAGAGTGGGGGAGTGGGATTGAATTGGATAGCTCTTTTCAAAGAGTTGGCACAAATACGATGGGCCGAATGGCTGTGCTGTGCTTCTGTGCTGTGTAATTCGATGATTCTATGATAGAGCTAGGCCGTTTAGGAATGAAATTAGGAGGCAGTTTTTCACACAAAGGGTAGTGGAAATCTGGAACTCTCCCCCAAAAGGTTGTGGATGCTGAATCCATTCACATCTTCAAAACTGAGGTGGATAGACATTTCTTAGGTTAGGGTATTAAGGGGCAAGGATGGGAAACTGGAGTTGAGGCACTGATCAGCCATAATCTTATAGAATGGTGGAACAGGCTTGAGGGGCTGAATGGTTTATTTCTGTTTCTATGTTTCACTGGACTGGGATGTCAGCTTGTATCATGTGCTTCAAGTCTCCAATGTAGGACTTGAATCTACAACCTTCTAACCCAGAGATAAGAGCACAACCAACTTAATCTGACTAACAACACACAAGATTGGTTTGGATTAAGAAGACACTTTGGTCAGTCAGATTTCAGCCTTCCCAGAACACCAACCCTACTGTTCCCCCCATCACAGCATCAAGCTGCCTTTTAAATGTGTCCAGTTTCCTGGTCTCCACCACCTTGCCTGGCAATCTGTTTCAGTTGATTATTACAGATGCTAAATCAAATGCAAGGTTGTTATTATTATTATTATATTATTATCCTCTGACGAAAGAAAAACTTGTATCTGTCCCAAAATTGCCTGTTACAACTCTAAACATGCATCCTATTGTTCTACAACTGTCTTGTTGCATCTTAAATATTGATCCGGGTTTACTTTTTCAATCCCATTTAACATTTTATACACCTCTATGAGATCCCCCCGGATCATCTTTTTCTCATGAATGAGGAGCACGAGCTTGTCTTATCATTGCTCATAGCTCATTCCTCTAACACTGGGGATAATCCCTGTTGCTCTCCTCCTCTGCACTGCCTCTAGTGCCTGGGCAGCCCCCTTATGCCACAGTGATTAGAACTATTTGCAGCACTCAAGGTCTGACCAGGGCATTATATAGCTCAAATAGGATGTCAGGGAATCTAAATTAAACCGATTTAGTAATATGTTCCCACATCCTATTTGCCTTAGCATCCTGTTGCCTCACATTGTTTGGAATAGTGAGCAATGAGTCAACTAACGTCATAGATCTCTTCCAGGTTATCCCTCGGCAAGTTCTATCGCATCCATGGAATACTTGTGTTTATTATTCTTGTATCTGACATGCATTTCCTTGCATTTATCTGTATTAAATTTCATTTGCCAGATATCAGTGCCTGTGTATACCGTATCAAGCTCCCTTTGTAGATCCTTTGCCATCTCTTTTTATTCCATGGTTCCCCAAACTTGGCTTTATCTGCAATTTTAATTATCTTCCACTTTGTCTGCGAATCTAGGTCATTAATACATAGAAGGAATAGAAGGGATTCGGCACAAACCCTGAGGCAACCCACTTAATACCTTGCCCCATTTTAACCTAGCTCCCCTAAAAAGGACCATCCTCTTCCTTCCCGTCAATCAATTCTGAATCATGTTCATGTCTTGCCCTTGATAACAATGGAACACAGTTGGTGAAGGGGTCTTTCGTGTGGTACTTTGTCAAATGCCTTTTGGAAATCTAGATATAATACAGCATATGGCATCCCACAGCAATCATTTATTACCTACATGTGTTCTGACTGCCTACTTGTTTAATGCCAAGACCTGGAGGAGCACAACTTTCTGCGGCTGAATACGGATGGAAGTCATTCTCCTTGGCTTCCGTCAAAGGTCTTCTCACCTGTGGCTGTGAACTCTTTAACTTTTTTTGCCTGTACCTCACACTCACCAAACCTGTAAACAACCGTGGCATCAGGTTTGATCCTCAGTTATTCTTCTTACCCCACGTGCAGTCCCTGACCAGGAATGCCTTCCTCCTCCTCTGCTGCATCCCCCATGATTGCCCCTATCTTACATCAAAAGCTGAAACTCTCATTCATACTTTTGTCATCTCCCACCTCAATTTTTCTCATGCAGTCCTCTCTAATCTCCCCAGCTCCAAATGATTCAGAACCCTGCAGCTCTGACTTCAACTGTACCAGGCTCCGCACCCCAATCATCCCAGTTCTTGCCAGGCTCCACTTGCTCCCAATTGCAGAATGGTTCAAATTTCAAGATCCCCTACCTGTTCAAACTCATTCTTTCCCAGAACTGAAGTCTATTGAGCTCCTTACTTTCCTCACTCTTTTCCTCCTGCTGCAATCTATATCATTTTCAAATCAATGTTTCACATCAATCACAATTACTATAGAACCATAGCACCATAGAATTATACAGCACAGGATGCCACTTGGCCCATCATATCTGTGCCAGCTCTTTGAAAAGAGCTATCCGAATCAATCCCACTCCCCGGCTCCCTCCTCATAGCCCTGCAAACTTGTCCTCCCTAAATAATTATCTACTTCTCTCTTCAAAGTTGTTATCAAATCGGCTTCCACCACCCTTTCAGGCAAAGCATTCCAGATCCGAACAACTTGCAGTGTGAAAAAATTTCACCTCACCTCCCATCTGTTTCTTTTAATAACCATTTTAAAGCGGTGTCCTCGGGTTACCAACCCATCCGCCAGTGGAAATAGTTTCTCCTTGTCCAACTTATCGATTCCCCTCATAATTTTGAAAATTTCTATTAAGTCTCCTCTTAATCTTCTCTGATCCAAGGAGAATAATCCTTGCTTCTCTAGCCTCTCCTGATAACTGAAGTCCCTCATTCCTGATACCATCCTGGGAAATCTCCTTTGCCTTGACATCCTTAATGCCTTGACATCCTTAATGCCTTGACATCCTTCCTAAAGTATGCTGTCCAGAACTGAACATAGTATTCTAGCTGAGGTCTAACCAGTGCTTCATAATTTTTTTATAATTACTTTATCTTTTTTTTCAATCTTGGCGATGTCCTCCAGAAGGCTGTTTAACTTAGCTCCTCTAACATATCTCCATTGAAAAATATCTTCCCCAACATAATTTCCACCTTTTGCATTTTGTCTATATTTGAAAAGGATATAAATTAATTAATAATAGAACATAGCCTTTACTGTACTGGGAAATCAAGGCTGAATATATTGTTTAGTGAACAAACCTGCAACATAACTGCTGTAATCTGTCTGCTAATCTCAATTCAAGAGACTATTATGATTTGATAACATTTGCTGTTACAAGAAATATCTGTCCTGTTTCACTGGTTATGCTTGAAAAAAGATTTCTTATAACCCAGAGGGCAGACTGACAGCTGAACAGCAGTAGTTTTACACTTCACAGAAAGCCTTCCCTTTTTTNGCTGCTGATGCTAAATCAACATCAGTCTTTCTCCTTCAAATGCATTGATCAATCGAGCGCGTAGCAAAGGCAATTACAGTGAAACCATTAAGAAGGAGGCAAGGTGTCACTCTGACTAATCTCGTAATTTCAATTAGGGCAGGTGGATATTTATGAGGCATCAACTGTAGCTTTCCATGGGGTTATTTCACATTAAAACTATCCTCAATCCTCCTAAATCAAATGTGAAAGTACAGTAAGCAAACATTACAACTCTGGGAATTGTAGAGGTATAATTGAAGGATCATTTCAAAGGTGCATTCAAAGTGCTTTGATTGAAGACTGTGACAGACTGTTGGAATGTCATCATTAAGGAAACAATGGTTCGCAGGAAATGTAATATAAGAAGTTACCACAATTAATGCTTTTGGAATGGAAAAAGTCTTAAAAGATTCTTTAGTACCAGTAAAGTTTTACTGGTCTATTGTCTTAGACACAGCTGACTCACAAGATCAAAATATTGGTTTGTATAAAGAAAGTCCTTCGGCCCATTTGATCTCATCCTTCCAGAATGCCCTCCCTACTGTCTCCGCATCACAGCATCAAGCTGCTTTTTAAATGAGTCCAGTGTCTTGGCCTCAAACACCCTTGGTACAACCTATTCCAGTCATTAATTATCCCCTGGTAAAATAATTCTTCCTGATGTCTATCCTGAAATGCCCCTTTTTTGAGTTTTACTTTAATTTTAATTTCTTTATTTGAGGGACCTTAACTGTTGATGCACCCATTACTTGTGAGAGTATATCTTTGTATTCTACCCTACATTTTTTCTGTAATCCTTTATCTACAAATTTCTCTTCCCACCAGTCTGCTGCTGAAGGCAATAACTCAGTTCACTGCTGACTACAATGGAAGTAACGAATACATTTTGCAGAACTTACTCTTAGATGAGTAATACGGAGGTTTGAGTTCATAATAGGGTAGACTCCCCATAGTTCGTGGAGGGTGTGAGTTGAATGGACTTTTCTCCTCCAAAGATATACAAATATATATCTGTACTCTACCCTACATTTTTTCGGTAATCATTTATCTACAAATTTCTCTTCCTACCAGTCTGTTGTTGAAGGCAATGACTCAGTCTGAGGTTAGTAATACAGATGCCAGCAACCTTCCAGGGACAGGGGACACACCCTATTAGTCATTCTTCATGCATGAAACTAAACCATGATGATGAGCAGCAAAAGCTAATCAACCATAAGACCATCATAGGTGAGGCTGATCCTGTCCTCACCCAATGTGTATGTATATGTCCACACACAAATACATACGCGCACACACACACAAACAAATACATACTTTCCAGTAGAGGTCATGGGATACCAACCAAGAAAAGAAACCTGAGCTGATTCCCAGTCTGGGTCAATAAAACGTCTGCCATATCTAAAAAAAATCCTTGGTTTATTGATGTGGTCTTGTAATAACTGCAATGGAAGTTTAAATTATAATTCAAATTAAATTCTAAATTTGAAATTACTTTAGTTATAAATAGGCACATGGTGACACATTCACCAAAAGTAGTAAATGGAGCAGATCTATAATTTGATAATAAATTGATCAGATTTCTTGAGGAAATGAGAAAAAGAAATCAAACAATGGAATAGAGATTTGCTTGACTACATTGAAAGTAAAGAATACATTTACAGAACTTACTCTTAGATGAGTAATATGGAGGTTTGAGTTTGTAATAAGGTAGACTCCACATGGTCTGTGGAGGATATGAGTGGAATGGACTTTTCTCCTCCAAAGCTTTCTAATATTCTTTATTGAAAAAACAGCATAAATTGACAAGTATTCAAGAAGAGATGTTAAATTGAGGGCTTTCCGTTGAGATGTTAAACTCCGTTGAGATGTTAAACTGAGGGGTTTCCATTGAGATGTTAAACTGAGGTCTTTCCGTTGAGATGTTAAACTGAGGGCTTTTTTTTTGGTCAGCTGGGTTTCGATATGTGTTGATTTCCGCATGGCGTCTGACACATGGGGAAACCCATCACCACGCTTAAGAATATCAAAACCAAACTGAGATTTCCATGCATCCCACCTCCACCGGGAACTTTCAGAGACAGATTGTTGGAATGGAATTTTCACTCTCTCCCTGGATGGATGCATCCTTCTTACCTAATTAGTATTAATAATCCTATAATAATCCTTGCATTTGATATAGCGTCTTTCACATCTTCTAAACGTCTCAAAGCGCTTCGCAGAATATACTACAAAGTGAATTGACTGCATATTTTGTGGGAGAAACACGGTAACCAATTGCTCACAGTAGTATCCCACAAACAGTCAGTGACCAAATTATTATTTTTTTTGTTGAGGGATTATTATCAGGTGTCTGGAGTAAGCAAACTTGCCCAAGGTTTCTCCCTGCTGGGAATCAAACGCAGGTCTCTCATTTGCAAGGCGAGTGCTCTAACCACTGAGCTACAGGACTCCACGCAGAGGTTGGCAACAGCCAAAGCTTGGGGACCCCAGAGTGTGTGTTGGGGGCCAATGTTCCCCTGGATGGTGGTGGGCTGGAGGTTGGCATATTGAGGAGGTTGCCAAACATGATTGCAAAAAACAGGAAAACCCTGTTTTTTGCAATCCAGGCGAATGGGGTTAATCCGAGTTCGATTTTAGTGGAGTGAGGGGGTGCCAGGAGTTCTTGGGCTCATGGTCTCCCGTGGCAGGCATACCTGGAATGGGGACCAAGGCGACTTACATGCGAGCCATACCTGGAGCAGGGCCGAGATCGCTGTCTGGAGCAGGGCCCCTAGCTTACTCATGAGCGGGACCTGAACCAAGGCCGAGAAGGGCTCGAGGACAACACTGGCATTGTCCCCAATAGCTTCCAGATTCAACGCGGGGCCTGTACCTGTGCCATGTGGAACCAATATGGGATTCGTCGCATCGGCTGGTCCAAAGAGCCATCGCAGCCATTGCTGACTCTCATGGTGAACATCCAACCAGAAATCAGCTGCTGCATGGAGTCACAACCGCCCGCCACCTTTGAATTTCTGGCTGTCCAACAGCAGCCACTCTGACTGCCCTATCCCCCATTCTCGCCGCAAGGCCCATCAATCCCTGACCACGGGGCCAACCTCTCCTCCCTCATCCACATCCCCACCCTCCCTGTCAATCCTGCCCCTCCCCCCCTCGTCTCCCACATTCTGCCACCAACTGTCCCCTCCACATCAACCTACAAAATGTCCACTCCCTCCAATAAAACACTCACCATCCAAGACCTTATTGTCGACGAAAACATTGACATTCTCACCCTCACTGAAACCTGGGTCACTCTAGGTGACACTTTCCCCCTGACAGAGGCCACACCACCTGGCTACACCCTCCATCATACACCACAACCTAACTGCCATGGCAATGTGGCTCTCATCTTCCAGTCCCCACTTGGCCTATTCGCTTACTCCTCCAGAACCTTCCGCTCCTTTGAGCACCCTACCCTTTATCACTCCTCCAACCTTTCCCTCAAAATTCTCCTTATGTATCACCCCCTCAGGCCCTTCCCCCATCTTCCTCCCCACCTTCCTATCTTCCCTCTCCCTCTGCTCTGAACACTTCCTCATCCTAGGGGACTTCATCGTTCACTTCGCCCCCTCCTTCTCTACCTCTGCTGACTTCTCCTCCAGCCTCTCCTCACTCAACTTCTCCCTCCATATTCACTCCATCACCCATGTCCACAGTCATCCCCTCGACCCGCTGATCACCCAGGGCCTCACCGTCAAAGCAATCTAGGACCATTACTTCATCTCCCTTAACTTCTCAATCCCTCTCCGCACCACCACCCAAACCCGCAGTCCCTCCGCCTCACCCCCTCCCTTGCCTCCTTCAAAACCCATCTCAAGATCCCCCTCTTCGACCATGCCTTCACTCACCCTCTTTCCCCCTTGCCATCCACCCTCCCCGATCCCAACCCCCAGCTCGGGTCCGAAACACTGATTGTCCAGCGCCTTGGAATGTCCTCCAGACGTAAAAGACACTATACAAATGTAATTTTTTTTGTTGTGGCTGGAGGCTAGCCAGCAAAAACCACATAGCTTGCCATTGATAATACCGTTTGGCAAGTTTTCCCACTGCTTGTCCAGCTAGGACCACCCTACCTGATAGTTTATTGTGTTAGTAAATTATGTTTATGTCTGGTCAATTCTTTTCTCATCCGAACTTCACAAAAAAAGTTTAACATTCAGTGGTTTGCTGTTTATGAAATACTCCAAGTGCAAATATACTGCTTAAATAACAACAGTCACTAAATGTCATTGTCTGAAGCACTTTGTGTGATAAGATGCTATATCAAACGCAAGTATTAGTAATATGTGAAAAAAAATCTACAGGTCAAGAGAAATAGAGAAGATATAGAAATAAAATTAATCCCAAGAGGTAGTAGAACAAAATGTTTACCATTAAAAAAATATTCCTGTGTGCACATACAATGTTAAACCACCATAAAATTAATACTCAAAACTTGTGATCTAATTCTGTTGCACCAGTTTATTACAGCATAGCAGATCATTTAGTCACATTTGACACAACTCTTAATACCCGAACTTTCCACATATTTAGATGTCTCCCTTTTAAGTACATAAATTGATTCTGCATCTACACAGAATCAAAACATAATTAAATTTTATCCAAACAACAACAATAACAACAACTTGCACTTATACAGTGCCCTCCATGCAAGGCAACATCTCAGAGCACTTAACATTAGTGGACCCTGACTCCGAGCTGGTGTGGTGGTGGGTTGCGGGAGGGGGAGGTAACCTTAAGCACGGTCGAAAAGGAAGGTTTTAAGGTGGGACTTGGAAAAGGGGAGAGAGGGTGGAGGGATTGAGGGAGAGTATTCCAAAGTTTTGGGGTGCAGTGGCTGAAAGCACGGCCTCCATTGGTGGAGCGGAGGGTGCAGGCTGCTGCCAGTTGAGCAGAGGAGCCAGGTGATGGACTGGGGAGTGAGGAGGTCACAGAGGTAGGGAGGTGCCAGAGAGTGAAGGGATTTGAACACGAGCGTGAGGATCTTGATGTCCATCCGTTCAGTGATGGGGAGCCAGTGGAGCCTGGCCAGAACTGGTGAGATGGGGGTATGGAGTTCGGTCCATGTACGTATGTGGGCAGCAGAGTTCTGAATGAGCTGGATTTTTTGAATAGTGGAGCTGGGGAGACCAGTGAGGAGTGTGTTTGAGTAATCCAGATGAGAAATGACAAACACATGCACGAGGGTTTTAGCTGCATTTGGGATAAGGTACGGTTGTAAGCAGGCAATGTGACGGAGGTGCAGGAAGGCAGTCCTGATCAGGGACCAGATGTGGGGGAGGAAGGACAGCTGGGTGTTGAACCGGACGCCTGGATTGCGCACTGTTTCCGTGAGTCTGAGAGAGAGCCCAGGGAGGTTGAGGAGTTTAGATCCGCAGGAGTGAAGACGTTCATGGGAGCCAATATGGCTTCTGTCTTGTTCACATTCAGCTGTAGCTATAAACAGCTATAAATAAACATTTATAGCGGTAATCAGCAGATAGAGAAGCGTAATTTTCCAAAGGATATAAAGACTTATATCTATAATGTAAAGAAGCTTAATTTACTACAATATAAAGTCACTTCATAATTCATACATGTAAGAAACAGACAGCTGTTGGTAAGATACTAGACACTAATTCAGCTCGAGAGGTTCTGAAGACCTCAAAGTTGTGAGAGCCATGGTTGAGTAAATGTCATAAAACCATTAAAATGATAAAATGAGCAAAACGTATCTGCCCCTAACCTTGCTCAAATCTATTCTATCAAGTCCACTCATTCTATCTCCAGGTGGGAATTTTCACATAGAGATTGCTTGAACTGGACATGCAAAGAAGCAAAACTTCCAAGAATATTTTCCCACATGTCTGATATTCAAAACATAGCTACAGAACACTTAAATCTAATTAATGTTCATCTCCCTTTCAGGTCTTCCTTTTTCAATATGTACTAGATAAAAATTACATTTTAGGAGCAGCAAAACAATAGAACAAGAGGACATAGGTTTAGAGTTGCAAAGGCCATTTTCAGGACAGACAGGGTGGGTGTTCTGGAGGGAAGAAATCCGATGTGACAAAGGGCCTTCTTCATCCAGACCAATGTTATGATCTTGTGAAATAAACTGCTGCAGAGGTAAATTCTCATCAAAACAACAAAAAGAGCAATTTCTTCTCAGCCCACATGTATGGTATAATGAATATATAATATATATGAGAGAGGGAGCTATGGGGTAGCCTTTAAATTAATTATGAATTGCAGTGCACAGCTGTCAACTTCAAAGCAATAATTAATGTGCTCTTTTTCACTGTTCTGAATTATTGCTCTGCCATGGAATTAAATTATAGACCATATGTTTCAGACAAATATTTGGACACCTTTACAGCCATTTTGTGCCATGCTGATATTGTATTCATTAGTGAAATTACCCAAATAAAAAGGTGTCATGCAATTTGTACAAAAAATATTTGGTATTCACAGTACAGGATATTTCCTCAATACGGCTCCACTTCTTGCGAACTGAGACTAATTTGACAGAAACTTGCAGAGTGAGTTATGAAATCTGGTAATATACAGCAGGTAGCAACAACTGATGACTTATATAGGAACATAAGAACATAGAAGCCAGATAAGCCCTTTGTGCTCTTCATCTGTCTGATCCCAAATTTTAAAAAAAATCCTACATTATTCTGTCTCTCATACCCTTGAAATGATTTCTCTGTCAAATGGAAAGGTAATTCCCTCTTGAATATGCTGACACAATCCTTCCCCACCACCTGCTTCCTTAGCTAGTTGATTCCACATCTTCAACGCTCTCCTTATAACATAATTGAATCAAAACAGATTTTTCACCATCCCCTTTCTGAGCTTAACTTGGTGGCTCCTTGTTGCAGAGTTGGAAAGGTGTTAAACACACTGGGGGCAAAATAGTGGGGATTCACAATTGAATTCATTCAAATTGCTGCTAGTAAATAATAATCCTTTAAAATAATTTTATATAGCACCTTTCACAACAACAACAAGATTACATTTGTATAGCGCCTTTCACATCGGGAGGACGTCCCAAGGCCCTTTACGTCTGAATTATGTCTCAAAGTGCTTCACAGGATAGACGATAAAGTGGAGTGATTGTGTATTTTGTAGTTGGCAGCCAATTTATGCACAGTTATGTCCCACAAACAGCCATGAAACGAATGATCAATTTTATTTGGGAGTTTGTTGGTCAGCACGCCTGGAGAAACTCCCTTTTCTTTACGAGTAGTGCCATTCATTTTTAACATCCACATGAACAGGCAGATGGGACCTCACTTTAACGTGTTATCCGAAGAAAGCACCTCCGATGATGCAGCACACCATCAACAACAACAACAACAACAAGATTCCATTTATAGAGCGCCTTTCACGTCAGGAGGACGTCCCAAGGCGCTGCACAGTTGGGTCATGACCCGAGCAGGGGGGAAATGGTCAGGGTGAGGGGAGGGAAGGGAGGGAGAGAGGAGGGGGAAATGGTCAGGGTGAGGGGAGGGAAGGGAGGGAGCGAGGAGGAGGAAGAGAGTCGAGAGGGGAGCTGAAGGCACGGTCAAAGAGAAAGGTTTTGAGACCGGCCTTGAAGGAGGAAAGGGAGGAAGCAAGGCGAAGGCACTGGGGGATGGAGTTCCAGAGCCTGGGGGCTGAGAGGCTGAAGGCCCGACCACCGATAGTAGGGCGGTTGGGGCGGGGGACGTGGAGCAGACCGGAGCCAGAGGAACGGAGGGTACGGGCAGGTAGGGGGATAGTAGGTTGGAGAGGTAGGAGGGAGCAAGGCCGTGAATGGCCTTGTAGGTGAGGATGAGGATCTTGAAATCAATCCTCTGGGGGATGGGGAGCCAGTGGAGGCGAGCGAGGGTGGGAGTGATGTGGTCCCGAAGCCTGGTGCGGGACAGTACACGAGCTGCAGAGTTCTGAATGACCTGCAGCTTGTGGAGG